TATATATATATATAAAAGCCAAATTGCCATGATCAAATCTGTTGTCCCTTTGATTCAATCCTAAATGAAAGAATAGAGCTTCTCACCTCCTCTTATCTAATTCATCAGTATATTCAGACTCTTGAACTGAGCAGTCAGAGCCCTTAGATGAAGATGAGCTCTCCTTTGTAAAGGATGGTTTCCCCTTAGGCCAGGAGAGAAGCACATGGAAAGGCAGGGAACGCTAAGGGGCCGGGTATCCACCCTGCCAACCTTATCAGATAACCAGAACACAGCCTAATAGTCTGCACATGCAAGCAATAGTTTTGATTTCCCTGACTCAGACTGTGAGGTCCTTGGCATTGATATTTCAGCAGAAAAGCTCTCCCTTTCCATGTGGGAGACAGGGTTCAATTCCCAGTCAATGCTGTCACTGATCATCTGTTAGTGGAAGTTTGCATGTTGCTGTGATGCTCAGTGGGTCTCAGCAGAGCTTCCAGATCAAGATAGGTTAGGAGGAAAGGCCTGGTGATCTACTTCTGAAAACCAGCCAGTCAAAGCTCTATGAAACACGGGAATCTGATCATGGAGTGGGGCAAGAAATGGATAACTGTTTAGCTCCATTGTGCACATGGGCGCCATGAATCATCTCAATGGCAGCTAAAACAACAGTGGAGATAATGAAATTATTTTGAGGTAATGGAAGAAGAGTATCTTAATTATCCTGAAAGTCAAAGTCATTGCCTTGAAGCCAGAACTGACTCATAGCTGACCCTCCAGTAGCTTTTCAGAGACTATAGACGGGATGAGAAAAGAATGCTTATTTTTCATTTCAAGATAGAGTTTCAAAGTCCTTGCCTCTAAGGAACAACCTATTCAGGACAGACCTGTTTGTTCTCTTGGTAATCTATATTCAATGCTCTTCTCCAATGCCCAAAGGCATTGATTATTATCCTTTTGTCCTTAGACCAGTTTTCAGATGCATATCAAGCAACTGAGAAGACCATGGCTTAGATCCATTGCACCTTAGTCTTTAGACTGACATAATTTTTCTTTAGCACTTTGGAGAGGTCCTTAACAGCAGATTTTCCCAGTGCAACTCATCCTTTGACTTCCTGGCTGCTGCTGCCAACTGGGCAAGATGAAATCATTAACAGCTTCCAGGACATCTAATGCTGCTTAAATGAAAATTCCACAAGGGGTTGGTTTTAATAAACACGTTTATTTTCTCACTGTTTAGGAGGCTAGAAGTCTCAATTCGGGTTGCCAGCTCTCAGGGTAGATTTTCTGTCTTGGTCAACCCAGAAGAAGGTCCTTATCTGTTGGAGCTTCTTCTATTCCTGGGTGATCTTCATGTGACTTGATAAATGCTGTGATAAATGATGCAGAAAGTTTCTAAATCAGTGTGATGTTTGCCATGATCTAGATTTCTGATGAGACATAAACTTCTTGAACAATTTTTTTTCCTGCTATTAGAATTTAGAATTTTCACTGTTGTTGTTATGTACATTTGAGTCAGAATTGACTCACAGCAGACCCTCTATCAGCTTTTCAGAAGCAGTATATTTCATGGAGATTGCCCATTTTTCTTCCTTGAAGCAGCTGGTAGATTAAAACTGTGTGCCTTTGGGATTGCAGCACAACTTCTTATCACTAGGCCAGCAGAGCTCACTACAACTTTCACTACAATATTTAAATATGCAATCTGGAATGAAACAGTAAGCCTAACATGGCTCTCAGTGCTGGGGATATAACAGTGCACCCTTTCTCTTGAACTTCCTTCCTTCACTTATTTATTTTGGGTAGGAGGGGATGGAACTGGGAAGTACACATGGAAATGCAAAGGTTAACAAACAATGAGTAATTAATGAACCAGATGACACAGATGGGGGAAAGGCTCAAAAAGGAAATGCCAGTTGCCACTCAGCTGCTCTGAGTTGCATCTAACTCATGCCTTCCCCCGTCTGAGTCACCACAGAGGGTGCACCACCGTTTTCAATGGCTACATTATCAGTAGATGACCAGGTCTGCTAAGATGCTTCCAGACGGACCTTCACTTAGCAGCCGCATGTGTTAATAGTGTGTCCCACCCAGGAACTCTAAAAAGGAGGAAGAAGTCTTATAATACTGGCTGGGTAGAGGGATGCCACTTTAACGAGGATGACACCCTGGTCATCCTTGAGAAAGAATGAGCCCTGACAGGGCTATGCAGGAAAGTATCCCTTGCTGTGGAAAGCAGCTTATGGGTGTGACTCCAGAGACACAGATTTTGGCATGCTTCTATATACTTTTTTTGTGCTTCCACCCTGAAAAGTTTTTTATTACAGTGATTAATAGCATTAATAGACGTTGTTGTTGTTGTTGAGTACCATTGAGTCAGAACTAACCCATGGCTGATCCTCCAGTGGGTTTTCAGAGGCAGTTAATCGCACAGAATGAGAGTATCCATCCTTCTCCCGCAGTAGTAGAAATTACAAAGCAGAAAATATTTTAAGCAGAATATACACGCTAGATTCAGAGGAGCAAGAACAGAGCAGGCTTCCACCAACAGGAAATGAGGAGACATGGATGTGGCAAGTTCACACTCCTGATTCCTGGTTGCATTGATCTTCATTTAGAAAGAAATTCCCCCCTCCACAATTTATACATGTGTTTCAAAGTACAAAAGGTACAACAATATATTCAGTATATAACAATATATTCAATATGTTCAATATACAACAATATATCCCTCTACTCAGACCTTCCTATCCTAGTTTCCCTCTTGAAAAGGCACTGTCCTTATTGGTATCGAGCCACACAGACCCATAGCTGTTTTCAGAAGCTGTCAATGGCACGGGAGACGTCCCATGTTTCTTCTGAAGAGCAGCCAGTGGATGCAAACCTCTTGCCTCTTGGCTGGCAGCACAACTCCTTAGTCACAGTTTGTGTTTAAAAGCACACGTTGTTGAATGTCTTACTGTTTGGAGATAGAGGAGAGAGCTGGACGAAGTGTGGAGTGAGGAAGAGGGGGAAGTCCCTGGATAGTGTACATGATTAATGTGCTTAGCAACTCACCCAGAGGAGCCTAGGAAGAAGGGCCTGGTAATCACTTTAGAAAATGCCATTGAAAGCGCTGTACACGGCCATGATATATAGATGGTAGTGATGGAGGAGGAGGGACAATCCAGCCATGCTGGGAAGGTGACTTTGCAAAGCTCTGTCTCCTGAAACTCTCTGGGCTGCTCTTTTCCTGAGCAGAAGGAAGTGATTTTTCCTTCCTTCAGGCCTGAAGCTTGGTGCCTTCCTCCAAGAACAAAAGCTGGAACCTCTCCTGAAGGAGCTGTTATCTTCTTTCACTTACAGCTTGCTCCAGACTCAATCTGCTTAGTCTTATCAAAAGCACTTTCTGCCACAATCCAGGTTTATCAGCATACCAGCATCTCTTTAAATAGAACACAAAGTATTAAATACCAGAAATAGTGAAGTGGCTTCTCCTCCCCCTGCTTCTTCTGCCTATTTATAATTTCAGCCAATCTCACCCCTGGGTGTATTTTTACTACCTTCTATATAAAGGAGAACCGTCCTTTGTTGTGAGCATGTGTGTGATGATCACGCTCATGAGCAGAACCCTGCCTAATGCTTCTTTCTCTCTTGCATTCCAGGTTGCTTACTGGGAAGTCTTTGATGGGTCTGTTATCAGAGAGCTGGAAGGTTCCTTGTCCGGGGCAATAAATGGCATGGATATTACAGTGGAGGGAGTGCACTTTGTTACAGGTTAGTCCTGGAGTTAGAAAAGAAGGCCAAGCTTGGCTTATTCGCACTGTTGTTGTTGTTAGGTGCCTTCCAGTAGTGACCCTACGAATAAAAGACCTGAATCCAGTCCCATCCTCATGACCTCTGTGATACACTTGAGCCCATTGCTACAGTCACTGTGTCAGTCCATTTCATTGGGGAGAGATATGTCTTCCTCCCTTTAATTGACCCTCCACCCTTCCAAGCATGATGTCCTTTTTCCAAGGAATAGTCTCTCCTAGCAACATGTCCAAAGTATTAGAGATAGAGCTTGTCATCTTTGGCTCCAAGCAGCATTCCAGCTGCACATTTTTCAAGACCTATCTGTTTGTTCTTTTGGCAGTCCATGGGATAGTCAGTACTCTTCTTCAACACTACCCCTCAAAGGTACTAATCCTTCTGTCATCTCCTTATTCATTGTCCAGCTCCCAGATGTATAGCAGCTGACTGAAAAGATCATGACCTGAATCAAACGCACCTTAGTCTTCAAGCTCTTAAGTATTTTGGAGAAGATAGTAGACTTGCCAATGAAATACATCTCCTGATGTCCTGACTGCTGATGCCAAAGGTGTTGATTGTTGATCCAAGCTAGATGAAATCATTGATTGGGAAATTCTATGTGTGAAGCAGCTTGAAGAGCCCATGAATGGGTCTAAGAGCAACCTAAGTAGATTCAGGATTGAGCACTGCAGCCAATGTGGCTGGAAAAGAAAACTCCAAAGGTGCCTTTCAATGAGAGGTGATGTTTGTGCAGGAACCTTAGGGTTCTAAAGAAAAAAAATAAGCCTTAAGGAGCTCTGGTGGCCTAGTAGCAAGAAGCTACGCTGCAATCCCAAAGACGCATGTGGTTCGAATCTACCAGATGCTCTTCTGGAGAAGGAGGGGCAATCTCTTCCTGTGCCAGTTGGATCTGACTCGACGGGACACACACACACACACACACACACAGAATTTACATTTAAAAATAAACCTTGCAGTGTTTGGGTCAGCTATTTTGGGGGTCATTGGTGATAAAGATGGTGCTTAAAATGGCCTAGTCCATCCAGGTGCCTTTCTTATTTCTTACTGAAGTCTTATATGTAAGACTCCTTCAAAATAAATTAATAAAACAGTATTTCAAGGGACATTCATTAGCAAACATGTCTACTGGGAAAAGCCTCAACATTTTTTTTTAATTTCTTGCCACATTCTTTGATCCTCCAAAAACTTAACTCATTGTCCTGAGTTAGACACACCTCATAGCTGACCATCAGGAGGAGATAGCCTATCTTTCTCTCCAGAAGACATGGTGGATTCAATCTGTCAGAAAGGTGCTACGTCTTTGATTTAGCAGCACAACTCCCTACAGACCAGAGTGCCCTAATACCTTGATTCTTCAAGATATTCACAAATAAATGCTAAAAAGGAATCAAAGCTTGACAAATACATTAACTTAAAGCAAGCTACAGTCTTCACGATGTATTACATTTCAACATCAAGAAGACAGGAATCCTCATCACTGAGTCAAGGAGGAACATCATGATAGATGGACAAAAGATTGAAGTTGTCAATGATTTCATCTTGCTTGGGTCCACAATCAACATCCTTGGCACTAGCAGTCAAGATACATTGTTGTTGTTGTTGTTGTTGTTTTTATTATGTGCTATCAAGTCGCTTATGACTCATAGTGATCCTATGTGCAGCAGCTCTGAACCTTGCTCTACCCTGTGCCAACCTTATTGTCTCTGACACACCTACCCCCACTGCATTGTATAAATTGGCTGTCAAGGACCTTTCCAAGGTGTTAAGGAGCAGTGATGTCAGTTTGAACCCTAAAGTGCACCTGATTCAAGCCACTGTCTTTTCAATTACTTGTTATATACCCGAGATTGGACAATGGCTAAGGTTGACAGAAGACTGATGAATGACTTTGTGTTGTGGTGTTGGAGAAGAGTATTGAATGTCTCATAGAATGACAAAAGAACGACCATATCTTGGAGACAGTGTAACCAAGGTGTTCACTGAAGGCAGATGGAGATGCTTCATCTCGTCCGGCATGTCGTCAGGTGAGGCTGGTCCTTGGAAAAGGACATCGTGCTTGGAAAGGTGGAGGGTCAGTGAAAGAGAAGAATACCCTCACGGAGATGGACTGACACAGTTACTGTACCAATGGGCTCAAGTGTATCAGAAATTATGAGGATGGCATTGGATAGGGACTGTTGTTCATAGGGTTAACTATCAAGCCATAGTTAATTTAATGGTGCTTAACAACAAGAAGCTAGGAAAGAATACAGAGCTCCATCTCAATTAGATACATAGGAATAGATGCATCATCGTACATTTATGGAGAGAAGCACAATCATTAAGTGTTCGGCTGCTAATCACTAGGTTGGCAGGTCAGATTCATCAGGCTTTAAGTGAGAAAAGATCTTGCAATCTGCCTCTGGTGAAGCTACTGTGAGTCCCAATCAACATACTACACAAACACCTACAGAAAAAAAAGACCGGAACTAGCTAATCCAGGACGTTATTAAAGGGTTCCTGCATGGTGGAAAAAATGGTGATTTCGCCTCTTTGATTCCCTGTCCCCCTCCCCCAATTTACTACAAAAGGTATTGTTTTTTATGATGGGGAAAGTATTACAATAAACACTGATCTCCTTTAAAAAAATGATAAAAACAATTTGAGATGCTTCATGAATTTGCATGGCATCCTTGCACAGGGTCCATGCTAATCCTTTCTGCGTCATTCCAATTTTAGTGTCAGTGCTGCCGAAGGGAGCACTCCTTCCTGAAAATTGGCACAAGGAGAATTGCTTAGAAAAGGATGCAGTTACTTGAAATCCAGGTCTGTTTCTCTCTATCCAGACACTAATGCAGTGTTGCCATGTAACCCTTTGTTGCTTTCAGGTGGAAATGACCATCTGGTGAAAGTCTGGGATTATAATGAGGGCGAAGTGACTCACGTTGGGGTGGGGCACAGTGGCAACATCACTCGCTTGCGGATAAGCCCAGGCAACAAGTACATCCTCAGCGTGAGCGCAGATGGAGCCATCCTGCGGTGGAAATACCCGCACACTTCATGAGGCAGCTCAGGCCTTCAGAAACCACAGGCCCGGGGTTCACAGGTGTGTTGAACACGGAGCCGGAGTCCTTAGGTCTGTGATTTAAACTGTTTTATGTATCCTCTTCTCCTTTCGTCTGTAGAGTGTATTTTACATTCTTAACATTTATATTATAAAAAATTAAAATGTTCTCAGAAGCAATTTATCCAGGTTCTAATTAAAATAACCATGATGAATGTGAATAAATCCCAATTGTTGGTTTCCTGTGATAATCTCTTTTCAGAATCTCTCTACAAACCACAGCCCATAACATTGCTATTAAACTCTAGAATGAGCTCTGGTGGCCTAGTGCTAAGAAGCTGCTCTGCAATCCCAGAGACTCACAGTTCAAATCCACCAGCTGCTCCACGGGAGAAAGATGAGCAATCTCCTCCCATGCGATTTACTGCCTTTGAAAACCTGATAGAGGGTCAGCTATTGGTTGATTCTGACTCAACTGTACACAACAACATACCCACATGGCACAAGACTAAGGTTTGAATACAGAAATTTGGTTTCTTAACTCCACAAGCTTTGGTTTCCTCTTTAGTAAAGTGAAAAGAAATTCCTGCTCAGAGAATTTAATGCTCTAAAGCCACTACCTGTCTGTCAGGTTGTCAGAGTGTGGTGGCTTGCATGTTACTGCAACGCTAGAAGCTGTGTTATCAATAATAACCAGCTGGATCACCCAGGATGGACAGCTCTCAGTAGAGCTTCTAGAATCAGACAGCAGAAAGAAAAAGCCCAGCGACAGACTTCCAAAGGCCGTGGTTGTTGTTGTTGGTGTTGTAGAATCGGCTACAACTCTTAGAGACTATGTTGCACAGGACAAATCCCTGCCTCATCCCATGTCATCCTCACAATCCCCTGTGCTTATGCCCAGGGCTGTGGCATCACTGATCAGTGAAAACTCCAGGGGTCACAGGTTTTTAGAAGCTTTATCAGGAGGGATCCATCACTGGGGAAGGGCATCATGTTTGGTACAGAGGCGGGCAAGCAAAGGTTAGGGCACCCCCAGGGAGGTGAATTAATGGTGGCTGCCATCATGGGCTTGAGGATGCCAGTGATTCTGAAGACTGTGAAGGACTGGGCAGGTTTCCTCTTGTCATCCACAAGGTCACCGTGAGTCAGGAGCTAACCCAATGGAAGCAATAGTATGTTACAACACTGGGGGAATTCCGGTCTGAGTGTAGTAGAAAATGAATGATGTTCTATGTCAAAGAAAATGTTTTATTAGGTATCTTGAGATGACTACCAAAGATGAAACTTTAGAGGTGCTTTACTGGGGATGGCCGTAAAAGTCTTCCTTCTGTACTTATTACCAGAAGCTTGATGGGAATGGGCCTGTGCGTTTATCATCTAAGTGGATGATTTTTTCCCCCAGAGAGGTAGAGCATTTCAGGTATCCACTCATACAATCTTTTGTTCTTTGTTCTCTGTTGATGTCATGTTCCATCGAGTCATAACCAAATCAGAGTTGACTCTCCAGTCGATTTTCAGAGACTGTAAATTGCACAGGAAGAGATTATCCATCTCTATCCCTCAGAGCAGCTAGTGAATTGGAACTGCTTGCTTTCGAGTTGGCAGTGCAATTTTTTTACCACTAAGCCACCAGAGTTGGTGCTGCTTTCCCGCTCCCCATTACCCGCCCCCGCCCCCCACCACTGTCCCAAATTAGTTAAATGGCTACTATCCTATTGAGACACACACACACACACACACACACACTCACAATTCCTGAATAAGTTCTGACTCAAAGCTGACCTTCCAATTGGGATTCTGAGGCTGTAAATCAAATGCAAAGAGGATGCTTATCTGGATCCCTCAGAGTAGCTGGTGGATTCAAACTCTTGGAGAATCAAGTCCTGTGGGTTAGCAGTGCATCTCTCCACAGAATACGCCACAGGGCTCCCTGAAACACCAAAATAGGATAGCTAATAAATGATGACCACTTATTAAGTAACAAGTTCACATTTCCAGCATCCTGCTGGTCTCTTCTGAGGGGAAAGGGTGATGAGAAATTCATTTTTCAAGAGCTTGCTAGATTAATTATAAACCTGACAGTTACACGATGATGTGAGCAGAGAGGCCTCCTGTGCTACCCTGGGAATAAAGGGCAGGGCAAGGCCACGCTCCTTCGGATTGGGCGACGATGCAGCTAGGATTTTGTGGTGAGTAGTGGATAGAAGGACGCGTAGGGGGCGCGCCTGAGAGCGGGGAAACTTCCTGGTCAGCAAATACTTAGGTTGTGGGAAGGGCCTGGAAGGGCCTGGCCTGGGGAGGACGCAGAACTGGGATCGAGTTCCGGTTTTTGTGGACACTCCTCTCCCGCACACTGCCGTAAACCTCTCCGAGGCCAATTCTCCACCAACTAAAACGAAGATGATCACATCTTACTTGTAAGTTTTTTTGAGCAACAACTCTAATCTAGACTGTATTTACAAAAACACAACGAACCGGGGCAGCGCGGTTCCCAGGTCTGGTCCAGGTAGGGAGCCGCGCAGCGAGGCTTCCTTCTGCCGGAGGGGCGGCCAGCTGCCCGCACACACCTGAGCCTGCGCAGGGACCGGCAGTCCTCAATACCGTCCTCCCTTCACAGCCCGGGCGCCTCCCTCTCACCACGCCTGAGGCTGCCTTTTCCTTTCCGTATCCACCAAGCAGAAATTTACCAGTACTGCTAAGAGTCTGGGCTTTACCATTTTCCAGGCGTTTTCAAGTTTACCATTTTTCCACAGTGGGGGAGAAACTGAACTAGGTTTACTCCAGGTTTTATGATGGAAAGAAGGACGGGGACCCAAACTGCAGCGCCTCTCGCAGTTATTGCTTCCCAATCTAGCCCTTGAGGCAGGGTGCGCACCCCCAGAGCTGGCCCTGCAGCCCGTGCCCCCGCTGGGCGGGGCAGCCCCGCCCCTGCTCCCGCCCCGGCCCCGCCCCCGTCCGCTCCCGCACACCTGGCCCGCAGGTAGCCGGTGTCGCGGCGCCGCTCCGGGTTGATAGGGCCTGCTAGCCGCTTGTCCGCTTCGAACAGGGGTCTCTGCGCGGGAAGCCGCGCCGGCGGAAGCCATGGACCCGGGCCCAGGAGCCGAACCCACGGGCTCCGAGGAGGCGGCGGCTCGCGAAAAGCCGCCGGCGCCCCGGCCCCGCCGCCGCCGCTCCCTGCGCCGCCTGTTCAGCCGCTTCCTGCTGGCGCTGGGCAGCCGCGCCCGGTCCGGGGACTCGCCGCCGCGGTCCCGGCGCGGATCCTGCGATGGAGACGGCGAGGGGGGCTTTATTCCCTCCCAGGTCCTGGCGGCGTCCGCACCGGAGAGTCCCGGGGAGACGCGCGCGTCGGGACTCCCAGCCCAGCTCCCAGCCGGCGATGGGGCGCGGCCGCCGGGCGCTCAGGGGCTGAAAAACCACGGCAACACCTGTTTCATGAACGCGGTGGTGCAGTGTCTCAGCAACACCGACTTGCTGGCCGAGTTCCTGGCGCTGGGGCGCTACCGGGCGGCGCCTGGCCGCGCCGAGGTCACCGAGCAGCTGGCGGAGCTGGTGCGCGCGCTCTGGACGCGCGAATACACGCCCCAACTTTCCGCCAAGTTCAAGGTAGGCGCGCGTGGCCGCAGACCTATTCCGGTCCTTCTGCTTTCGCTTTTTGAAAAGTGCACACTTTTGGGGAAAGGGGACCTTCTTCAGAAAGCTTTGACCAGCTCAGCCAGCTTCCTGCCTTTGGCTTGAACTGGTTTGCCGTTTCATCCCTTGCTTGTGTTTTCTTCACAAGTTAATTTCTCACGGTCTTTTGAGCCGTGGGTGGGGGTGTTGGAGAGGAGCATTTAGCAAGTTTGCGTTTATCCAACAAATATTTATTGCGGTGTCGAAGGCCTTTGGGCCTTTAGGGTTTTCAGTCTAGAGGGGAGGGGGTCGGGGAGTCGTCGATGGCCAGAACAGGAGGAAGGAGTTGGGTGAGACTCTAGTGATGGCGCAGCCAGGCCAAGATCGAGGCGGAATCCAGCAAAAGCCTGGGAAGCCAAGGCTGAGTATTGGAGGCAGGAAAGAAGACTCGTGCTGGAGCTAAAAGGGATCCAGGAGGGAAATGTGGTTTGCTAGATCTACTAAAATCTTGAACGTGGGGGTAAAGAGTTCAGATTTTACTCCAGTGGAAGCTGAGAACCCACGCTACACTGTGCTAGGCGCCCGGGAGAAGTGGTGTTGCGCCATTTTAAAGGAAACATCCTTTGTCTTGATGTCCCACTATGTGCTTGGTTGGGGTTACATCCGTTGTCCCTCAGGACCACATCTTCTTACTGAGGATGCTGCAGGCCAAAGGCTTTGTAATGGTTACCAGCTTTCCTAGGGTTAAAACGCAGTGTTTGGGTCCTGACTGGAGGAGCATTCCTATTAATGGATGCACACGGCTGGCTTCCTGCTGCAAAACCACAGCCTGGGCAGCGAGCAGGAGCCTCCACAGACCTGTAATTGTTGTTCTCTGGGGGAGGGGGATAACCTGTCAGGGTTCATTCCACAAGCATCAGAGCTCTTGAGTTTCTGCCCGAGAAAGCAATCCTTGTGACGCACAAGGAGCCCAGCCCGCGCTTTTCTCTCTCATATCTACTAGTGAAGGACCATTGTGGAGGAGTCAGCTGATCGAGTGAATGTCTTTTTTTTTTTTTTAACAAGTAGTTTTTTTATTTCCCCCCCCCCCACCTTTCTTATTATAAGAGACAACATAATAGAGTGGTTATATATTTGGAATCCTAGAGCTTTGTGAGCTTGAGCAAGTTCCTAACCAACCCAACCCTGGGCCTCCACTTTTCTCATCTACAAAATGGGATTATATTGATACTTACCTTATTGAGGGTTGCCAAGTTTGAATAAGTTGTATATATATATATACTGTTTAGTGCCCAGAAAGCCTTTGCTATAGTCAATATTTGTCCCTTACAGAAACCTGGAGGAGGGACTTTGTGTAGCTTTCCTTTTGTCAGATAGATTCCCATCCAGTTACTTCCATTAATACCTGTGGTGACTCACCAGGGTTTCCTGCCAGTCCTTGTGGCTTGGGCGTGCCCTCTGAGTTTTGGAGAAAGAAAGCGTAATTGAGTAGTTGATATGTTAATAAAGGTGAGTAGTCTGGGGTTTCCCAGGGCTTTAGGGTAGACAGCTCTGGAGGATTCCAGAATCCAGGCTTTTAAACCTTTCAGATTGAAGTCCTAGTAGGGTCCTCTTATTTTACAGAAGAGGAAACATTAATTTCATTCAACAGATATTTACTGAATGCCAGACACTGTGCTAAGAGCTTGGGGTAGATGAGTGATGAGTAAAAAAAACAGATCCTGGGTTGCTTTCTAGGAATTCACAGTGTGGTGGGAGAGACAAGTATGAACTCAATAATTACATAGACAGCAGGCGATGAATACCAGAAAGGGAAAATACATGGTCCTGTGGTCAGTGACTTGAGTTTTGAAAGAAAAGGTATGAAGAACTTTTGCCAAAAGAGTGAGGGTGGTATGGGGATGGCTGAGTATGAATTCCGTGAACTTCACAAGGGAGAACAGTCCCCAACAATAATATCCATAGCACAAACCCAGTTCCATGAGGCCACAGATGCCATCCCTGATGACCCCTGTACCTACCTACTCCTATCAATTCTAATACCAGAAGCTCCCCATTCCCCACCCCATCCCCACCCACAGCTCTTACTACTTTGCTGTCTCCACTGCAATGACTACAAAGAGTTCATAGAAGCACACTTACAATTATGGGGCTTGTTAAAGAAGTTGTGTTGTTTTTAACAAATACAATTTCTCTAACAAACCCATAGCCAGGAAATCAAAAGACAAAATGCGTTGGGAAAATCTGCCATCAGGCACCTCTCCAGTGTACTGATGAGCAACGGTATCAGTCAAGAGACTAAAGTGTGCTTGATTCAGGCCATGGTCTTTGCAATTACTTGGTATGGTTCAGAGAGCTGAACCATGGTAGAAGAAGAATCATTGCCTTTGCGTTGTGGTGCTTGAGAAGACTGTTGAACATTCCACGGACTGCCAAGAGAACAAACAGCCTAGAAAAAGGTAAAACCAGGTTGTTCCTTAGAGGCAAGGATTTTGAAGTTCTTCCTGACCTACTTTGGGCGTTTTGCCAGTCTTTGGAGAAGGAGATCATGCTTGGAAGGGTAGAGGGACAGCACAAGAGAGGAAGGCCCTGGAGGAGTTGGATTGAGGGTAGATGTGTCAGAGACAGTGAGATTTTCTCAGGAAAGGACAGGGTTTGAAGCTATTTTGCATAGGGTCACTATGCATCGCAGGCAACTCGATGGCACATAACAACAGCAGAGAAGTTTAACAGGTGATAATTGCAGGTTGGGTATAGGATGTAATTCTTCCTTCAGGAAGGCTTCTCAAGCATGCTTATAGGCCCTTTAACCTTTAGCTTTGTAGCTTTTGATCAGTTTAACAAAGTTCTCTCAGTCCTACCTGTTAGGACCTCTCTTCTCAAGTCCTCTATAAAGCGGCTCCATGGCATAAGCAGCCTGAGGTCAGTGCTGTGTCAAGTCATTCTCTGGTTCTCCACTGCTGTTGTGTTCATCTACATCCTGGTCTGAGGTGTTCAGGACTCTCTGACCCTGAAGAATGTGTACCGCCTTCTCATACTTTTTTTACAGGTGGTGAGATTTCCATCTTTTATCTCAGTTTTTGTTAATTATTGCTGTCTCATAACTGACTCTCTAGCAGGTTGTCAGAGGCTGTCAATCACAGGGGAATAGATTGCCTTTCTCCTGAGTAGCACCTGGTAGATTCGAACCATGAGCCTATGGGGTGACAGCACAACTCCTTACCATTAAGCCACCAGAGCTCCTTCTTTTGTTTCTAAGCCTGTTCAATTTAGACTAGTTGGATGGCAAGACTAACATCAAAATAGTCTTCACACGCTATTTGCCCGGCCCTGTGGCAAAGTCAATGGCAATGACCTAGGAAGACCATTTTGCACAGTAAACCCATTATACTACACCCTTTAACCAAAACCCTGCTGCACTGAGTTGATTCCAACTTGTAAAGACTTCCACCAGGGGTTTCTGAGGTGGTAAATCTTTACAGGAGGGGACTGCCCATCTTTGTTCCCTCTAGTGACTAGTGTATTTGAACTGATGATCTTTTGACTGGCAATCTAACATACTATACACTCTGACACCAGGACTTCCTTTAAGGAGAGGATTAGCACTGAATATTCCAGGGAGTGCAAAAAGAATAAACAAACATGTCTTGGATAAAGTGCAACCAAAGTGCTCCTTAGAGGCAAAGATGGTGAAGCTTCGCCTCGCATACTTTGAGCGTGTTGTTAGGAGAGGCTGTTTCTTAGGAACATCATGCTTGAAAAGGTGGAGGGACAGTGAAAGAGATAGACCCTCAGTGAGATGGAAGGACACAGTGACTCCAGCACAGGATAGGATAGGGTTCAGATCCATTGTTCATGGGGTCATTATAAGTCATTTCTAACTCCATGCACATAGCAACTAACTACATGGGAATTAGGTCATAAGAGATTGTGTAAGTCATGTTAAGGAGTTGTTTTAAACAAACAGATTGTTGGCTTCAGAAAGAACAAAGGAAGGAAGGAAACTGAGAAGGGCCGACATGTTATCTGGTATTCTCTCTTCCTGAGTCCTGAGTCACCCAAGTCTGCAAGGAAGAGTTATTAAGGCCATGTTTTATTTTAACAGCAAATATGTCAAAGAAATCCTGTCCATTTTATTGTCTGCTGTGCTTGTCTCTTCTACTGATACAAATATGTGTATTATAAGGGTCTGAAAGTACTAAAATGTGACATTTTTAAAAAAAATCTATAATTCTATTCTCTAGTGATAACTAAGTAAACATCGTGATGTTAAAACAAAAAAATTAAACCTTCCCCCTTTGAGTCAGTTTTACTCTTGAAAGCCCTTTATCACGTTTTGAGACTAAAACTTTATGAAGGAGATTACCCATCTTTCTCCCTCACAAAGCAGTTGGTGGATTTAAACCATCTGCCTTTGGGCTGACAGTACAGCTCTACCCAGTAGGCCACCAGAGCTCCCAAAAGACTTACTATTTCACTTAATTATAATGGAATGATTCATTAAGAAGACAGATATTAACATCCTGGATAATTTTCTATTTACTATGTTGTTGTTAGGTGACGTTGAGTTGGGTCCGACTCATAGCGACTCTGTGAACAACAGATCTGAACCCTGACCTATCTTGTGCCATCTTTGCACTTCCTGACGCACCAAAGCTCACTGCAGCAGTCACTGTGTCAGTCCACCTGGTTGAGAATCTTCCTCTCTTTTGCCAAGGATCATGGCCCTCTCCAAAGAATAACACCTCCTAGTAACAAGCCCAAAGTGTGTGACGCAAAGCTTCATCATTCCTGCCTTCAAAGAGCTCTCCGGCTGCACCCTCCCTTAGACATATTGTTTGTTCTTTTGGCCATCCATGGGATGTTCAGTGTTCTTCTCCAGCACCATAGCTCAAAGGCATCAATTCCTTTTCTTGTCATCCTTATTCATTGTCCAGCTCTCAAATGTATATCAAGTGATCAGAAAAACCAGGGCCTGTATTAGATGCACTTTA